GATGATGATGATGATGATGATGATGATGATGATGATGATGATGATGATGATGAAGTTTTTGTTTTGTTTCCTGAATGGGCTTAGTGAACTCCAAGAAGAAATCTTCGATCGAGAGCGAGTCTCTTTTTCGGCTCCATTGTCATTATACTCGGAGGCACCTACACTCGTCCAAATAACTCCATTCGAATTGCCAGTGTTCCGGACATTCAATCATATGTTTGACATCCTCCTTTTCATTGTTGCATCTTCGGCAGCGTGGGTTGAGCTCTTCATTCATAGAGTTCTGATACCATCTCATGTTCCAATGATGGCCCCAACGCAGTCTCGCCAGCTCAACCTGGTCCCAGCGACATGTGATATTCTGTTCCTGCTTATTGGAGTACCGGGAATACACTTTCTCCAGGTGCTGGTACTTACCTCTGCATGGTGGGTCTCTGATTTCCTTCTTGATCATTGGAAAGACTCCCCTGTATGTTACTGGTTGTCGGTCTCCTTCAATCATTACATACTCTGCAGCTTCACGTGCTTTTAGAGGATTATCACATTTGCTCTTCACTCCTTTCAATTCTGTCCGGATTTCGATTTCGCCATGGGTTTCCCACGGACAAGCTCTCACCAGATTGATTGGCCATAGATTCTCTGCTTCAGGGGGGGGGGGGAGATGGTCTGCTAGGCTGGTGCCCAGGGGGAACCAACTTTTCCTATTGTTTTCAGGCTTGACTGCTTGATCAAGGGCTTTCTTTCTAGGATGGCTGTCTGGCAATCGCTTAGCCATCTCTACAGACTTAGGGCATGTTCTTTTTGTTTAGATGGTGTAGTACTCAGTTCTGGTCTCATAGCACAGAGCTTCTGTTGGTGTTTTGTTCAGCTGACCTGATACAAGGCGGATGGCTACGTTTTGTATTCTGCCCAGGGCCTTTGCACTGGGTCCACTCAGCAAAGGCTGCCACGCTGGGACAGTATAATCCATCTTGCTTTTCGCAAACGTCTGAAAAAACCTCTTTGAGCGACTCCTTACCCCAGCCCCATTTGGAGTTGCTGACAGCTCCGATCATCTTCATTTTTTAGGTTGCACGTTTGGACACTTCCTCAATGTGCTTGTTGAAAGTTGGCTGTCTATCCAGATGGATCAGCAGGCGTGGAGCGGGGTTGAATGGTATCTTTCATCCTTTGGTTTGAATTTGAGGTTGACACGTTGCATCCTTCACCCATGCTGAGAAGAAGCACACCTCACTCTTGGTTGCATACAAAGTAAGTTTCCATTCATTGATCCATTTCACAACCATATCCACAATCAACTGTGTCGCTTCATTTGTCTTTTTTCTCTCTTTGCGTGACTGGCCAATATTGTGCAGTCATCAGCCAACATGGAGCAGATCAGCTTGGCAGAGGTTAGTTGTTGCGAGTCAGGGTTTGGGAGGGATTCTGCTAGGTTATTTATGAATAATATAAACAGCAAAGGCGATAGTACAGCTCCTTGGGGAAGCCCTTGCTTGAAATTCTGGCTTTTGTTTGTTTCTCCAGTCGGGCGAACACGGGCTTTTTTATTTCTCAGGAAACCATGGATCCATCTGATTGCACGCAACGGAACTCCTTTGTCAGCCATTGACAGTAATAGTCTTTCAAGCCAAACCCTATCATTTGCTTTGGAGTAGTCCACCAGGACTAGGACTGATCGATGGAATGCTGGCTTTTGTTGAAAGCCATCCTCAATTCCTTGACCAATTCTGATGATCTGGTAGATGCAGCTATGAATATCTGCAATCCACTCATTCTTCTCTGACAGGCAGTAAATTCTTTCAGCATGCATCCTTTCTACAACTTTCACGACGCAGGATGCTTAACTAATGGGCCGAAAGGATGTCAATAACTTGGTGACTTACCAGCTTTCAAGAGAGGAATGATGCGTGCCATACGCCAGCCTTGTGGGTACGCTGCTTGGTTAAGCGAGAGATTATATATGCTGAGTAATTCTTTCAACGCGAGTGGGACAAGCTCTTTTAGGAAAGATGGTGGTATATCATCAGGTTTGTGTTATGGCACGCTCGAGCTCTTTCATGATGAAGTCTGGGTACTATTGTTGTTCATCTTCGCGGTTCACATCGTCAGATGATGATGATGATGATGACGATGATGATGATGATGATGATGATGATGATGATGATGGTGATGATGATGATGATGGTGATGATGATGATGATGATGATGGTCATAGTAAGAGAAATATCATAGAGTGATATGATGATGATAGTATCATTAGTGGTAATTACTAATATGATAAGATAACATAAGATAAGATAGTACTTTATTATCCCAGAGGGAAATTTTCCTTGGTTGTACAGGACCGTAAAAACACATGCAGGTATACATTTAAAAAAAATTAAATCATATATATTACTCTCATTAAAATTCAATATGAAAGGAGAAGTAAAGCTGACAAAATATTTCTTTTACATCAAATGCATCATTCAACCACATGCAGGAATTTAAATACTAGACC